TATCTTTATTTTATTTATTTATTTTTATGTGATGGTGAAGATCAAATCCAGGGCCTCTCATGTGCTAGGTGAATGTTTTACCGCTGAGCTACAATCCCAGCTCACTAAGAAGAATTTTTGTCCTAATTTTAATGCCCTTTAGAATCCTAGAGTCATCATTCTGTTTTAAGTAGCAGCCAGTTCTATAGGATGTCAATAAAAATAATTGAATTTTATACTAAATAATGCACTACCTGTTATTTATTTATTTATGTATTTATTTATTACCAGCCAATTCAGTAATTGGTATTGTTTCTAGGGTAGTTTTGTACTGACAAATTAGGTTAATGGAACTTTCAGTTAATTCCCCAGCAGGTTTTCCTGCCAGCAGATGAGGTGAACATTGAGAAATTAATTCTCAAAGCTCTGCTTTCTAGGACCAGAGAATAAACTATGTAAGTAGTTCTCATTCCTTTCCCCTCCTGTTGAGCTGAGATCAAACAATTCCAGAAGGAGTAAACTAGGAACAATTTAGAGTGGGAAGGACAAAGCAGAGACAGACAATTGGTGGTCACTACCAGGAAAAGGAGTTTACTTCAGTAACTTTCCATAACCATGGTTATTTGGCGGTGCTCCTCTTCTACTTTGCCTAATCTTCATCTGTAGTTGGATTCTGCAACTTGCTTTATTTCCACTCCAGGATATCCTGTACCTTCATAATTCTTCAGAAGAGGTAAACAGTGCCCTTGTGGCATACCACAGACAGAGTCATCTTACATTGGAGGGTATGAATGAGACATTCAGTAATCTCATTGAGAGAATCAACCTGATAGAAAGTAATGTGGTTGCTCTGGGTGAGGTAGAAAACACAGCAAACCTGACCTCTAGCATGGAAAGCCTTTTCAGATCTTTCATGACATCTTTTGTATTGCACTGTGTTTTATTTGTACCTAGATGGCATTCCATCACTTTTGAGAACAGTCTTCTGGCATATTTGAGAGGCTGTACATTTGTACTGTGCTTATTCCATGTCTCCATTAGTTTTTGTACTAGGTCTATGATGTTAATGGCACAGCAGTGCTAGACCAGATTTGGAAAGGGAGATGTGGAGGAGTAAGGTTGTCTGTCAAGGCCTCACCACAAGTTGTTGGAGGAGATGACAAGCTCATTATGTTACCAGTACCCCATATGGTAGGAAGTTCTGGCACATGCTTTCACAGGAGGTCTTGTTGATCTTTTCTAAGTCATAAAGCAGGAACAGTAACATTGACAGTAACCAAAAATCTTTTGTTATTTCTTTTCTGGGGATGAGGGGTGAATCCAGGGGCATTCAACTACTGAGCCACATCCACAGCCCTTTTTGTGTTTAATTTAGAGACAGGGTCTCACTCAATAACTTAGTACCTCACTAAGTTGCTGAGGCTGGCTTTGAACTTGGTATCCTCCTGCTTCAGCCTCCGGAGCCACTAGGATTCCAGGTATGGGCCATCACACCTCTTTTGCTATGTGTATAAGCCTGTATTTAGCTTTCAGATGTATATTACTTCTCTCTGCATGTTTGGAGGAATCTTTTGCATATAATATCAGGAAATCCATGTAAAACAGTTCAGTCAGACCAGCTCAACTTATGAGGTCATTGAGTCCAGTCCCTGATTTTACATGTAAAGAAACCAAGTAACCTTTTAAATCACTGATGCCCCCTGACTCTGCAGTTTTCATGTTCTCAATGAATAGAATGTGGCTTGCTTTTGTTTTTGCTGTTGTTATTGTGTGTTTTGTTTTAATTAACTTTTACATCCATTGTGCTGGGATCCCTGTATATTATTTTCTTAATAGCTGTAGGCCCTACCCTTAAAAGATTTCATACATATTTTCATAAAAATATGAAACCAAATACAGAAAATGGTACTATCAATTCAAGTAACCACCAAAGCCAGAGGCAAGCCCACACATACCATTAAAACCCAAAACATAAAGGCAAATAACTCTGGCAGATGGCAAGAAGTGTTTAAACTGGCTCTGTCACAGTGGAGCCTTGGCAATTTGCCTTGATATGGCTTTGAAAGGTGGAATATGAAGACCTGTCTTCCACTTCTCCTTCCTGCTTTACAGGGGTGTATAATTTACTACAAACCTATGAAGATAAAAGGAACCCTATTTTTAAAAATTCTTTTTATTCTCATTTGTTGTATATGACAGCAGAATGCATTATAATTCATATTATACATATACAGCACAATTTTTCATATCTCTGGTTGTACACAAATTGATAATTGGCAATGATAAAGGAAAAATGATAAAGGAAAAACCAGGAAGATGATTACTCAATTTATGTCTTCATACATATACTTAGGGTAATGATGTCCATCTCATTCCACCATCTTTCCTACCCCCATGCCCCCTCCCATCCCCTCTCCCCTTTGCTCTATCTAGAGTTCATCTAATATTCCCATGTAACTGAAACAAGTAGAAGCACAAGTATCCACTTGGTCTTTCTGTAAACTTCCTCCCTCAGTCTTCCTATTTTTCTACTCCTCCACTATTTCTCTTGAAAGTATTCTGATTCCCTATAAATGAGTTTGACCATTTTTTTTAAAGTACTTGATATCATTCAAGTTTTAAGTTTATTTATCTTTTATCTTTTCTTCTTTTTCTTTTTGCACTCTAAGATGAGTGATAGAGCTGCCATTCTGCAAAGAGACTCTTTGGGTCAAGTGGCCAATAGAACGGGCACCATTAAAACCCAAAACATAAAGGCAAATAATAGGAGGTGTACCGTGAAGTAAAAATGAATGTATCAGCATCTCTCTGCTTGTGACATGCTACTTTCTCCTCAAAAGAAGCTCTTTGGTCTCACATGCTAAAGGTTTAAGACAAAGCAATCAGAAATCAGTGAATAAATGAATATTGTATCAGGTACATACCTTGTGCCAAGCTGGGAGGGCCACAGTGAGCAGGATAGACTTGGGACCCTTATTCTAGGGAAGCTCAAAGTCCATCATTCAAAAAATCTTTCACATAGATGTGCACAGATAACTAATCACAAATCTGATAAATGCTATAAAGGAAATATATATATATATATATAGTATGTTGAGGGGGTTCTAAGAGATCAGGAAGGATTCCCTAGGAAAATGACCTAAGACAGTCTCTTATCTATGCTAATGATGGGGAGGACAAAGGTATAGATCATCTTAAATAGTGTCCAGCCTCAAAATCCTGTCATGTGTTTCGATTGTAGTCTGAATACATTTGCACATTAATGCCCTCGTGTCTGCCAGTTCCCTTCACCTTGTATCTTTCCCTTTTTTCTTCACCCAGATGTATTTTCAAGGTAAAATAAGCAACCTATGATATGCATTGATATCCCAGGAAAGTTTGATCACAGCATTCTGTGATTAGAGTGCTGTATAATATTATAAGTCCTGGGCTAAGATAAAGGAAAAACCAGGAAGATGATTACTCAAATACTACAATGTCATATGAAATGCACCTTACATTTGAGAAGTTCAGAGGATATGAGGTTCAGAGGAAATGAACTTGGAGTCGAACCATGGTGCAGTTTTGGATGTAATGCTTTTCCATCTTATTTTTTCATCCTTAGCACTTTGATATCATTATGTAACATTCTGAAGCATTGTAAGCTAGTATCTTTTCGAATTTTCTGCCTATGACAATTCTTTTTAAACCTTACTTAAGGAATAAGAAAATTTAAGAGCCAGCTAGTAGAATTGAGCACAAAACGGTAATAGTTGGTTTCTGTTAGAAAGTAGCAGTGGTTTCAGCAATAGTTCAGTTTAACATAAGATATAGACCACAACACCAAGTATACACTTTTGCCTAAATTTGTTGACTTTACTTCATACCCTTTCTGTTTTTTAACTGCCATCCCAGTGTACTGGTCACTTTATCCTACCTTATCTAAGCATTCTAAACAGATACAATTTATCCTTACCATTCTTCAATCATTTAATACCTTGTTTTCATTACATGGGTTCATATTGGAACTACCTAAATAAACAGTGACCTCCTGTACAGTAACTATTAGTGCAGAAGTAGTGATTAGAAGAGACAAAAATCAATACATATTTAATAAAAGAAATATGAGATGAATTGGTGTACTAATACCCCTGAGATTAGGCCTCTCCACAGTAGCATAAGCACTTAGAAACTAGCCTTTTACAAAGCAGACTTCTCTCTTTTTAAAATCCAATTTATTTTTATGTGCTACTCTAGATCTTCCTGGGAATGAAATAAAATAAAGTGTAAGGTGAAATTTTTAAAAAAGATTTAAACAAATAAGACTGAATTGGAACTATTACAGCTCCTGTATGTTTCTGACAGTTGTTGCCATCATTTGACCATCACCATAGGGGAACAGAGGGAAGTATAGGGGAATACTTGTGGTTTGTTTTTGTTTTTATTGTTTTGTTGTTTGTTTTTATTTTTTAATCTTTTCAACTTTCTTATTGTTTATTGGTCCATATTAGCTATACCTAATAGTGACTTTCATTGTTGCATATTGGTGTGTGCACATACATAACATAATTTGATAAGATTCATTCCCCAATACTACCTCTTACCCTTTCCTGCTCCCTCCTCTGATCCCTTTCTTCTACCTTACTAGTCTCCCTTTGGCTTTCATGAGGTCCTTTTATTTTATCTCTCTTTTTTTTTACTAGCTTCCACATATTAAAGAAAACATACAGTATATGCATGCAATCTTTTATGGTCTAGTTCACTTTGCTTAACACTATGCTCTCTAATTTCATTCTTTTTCCTATAAATGATATAATGTGCTATTTTTATTTATATATAATAGCGGAATGCATTACAATTCTTATTACATATATAGAACACATTTTTTAATATCTCTGATGTATACATAGTATATTTATACCAATTTGTGTCATCATACATGTACTTTGGAAAATAATGATCATCACATTCAACCATCATTAATTACCCCATGCCCTCTCCCTTCCCCTCCCACCCCTCTGCCCTATATAGAGTTTGTCTATTCCTCTGAAGCTCCCTCTTCCTATTCCACTATGAATCAGACTCCTTATATCAAAGAAAACATTTGGCATTTGTTTTTTGGGGGGGATTGGCTAACTTCACTTAGCATTATCTTCTCCAATGTTATCTATTTACCTGCAAATGCCATGATTTTATTCTCTTTTATTGCTGAGTAATATTCCATTTTGTATATATGTCACATTTTTTAAATCCATTCATCTATTGAAGGGCATCTAGTTTAGTTCCACAAGTTAGCTATTGTGAATTGTGCTGCTATAAACATTGATGTGGCTGTGTTCCCGTAGTATGCTATTTTTAAGTCCTTTGGGTATAGACCAAGGAGAGGGATAGCTGGGTCAAATGATGGTTCCATTCCCAATTTTCCAAGAAATCTCCATACTGCTTTCCATATTGGCTGCACCAATTTGCAGTCCCAACAGCAGTGTATGAGTGTACTTTTTCCCCACATTCTTGCCAACACTTATTGTTGTTTGTCTTCATAATACATGCCATTCTGACTGTAGTGAGATGAAACTTAGAGTGCTTTTGATTTGCATTTCTCTAATTGCTAGTGATGATGAACATTTTTTCATGTGTTTGTTGATTGTACATCATCTTCTAAGAAGTGTCTCTCAAGGTCCTTGGCCCATTTATTGATTGGGTTATTTTGATTTTTTGGTGTCTAGGTTTTGAGTTCTTTATGTACCCTAGTGTTTAGTGCTCTATCTGATGTGTGAGGGATAAAGATTTGCTCCCAACATGCAGGCTCCATATTCACCTCACAGATTGTTTCTTTTGCTGAGAAGAAAATTTTTAGTTTGAATCTATCCCATTTATTGATTCTTGATTTGAATTCTTGCACCACAGGAGTCTTATTAAGGAAGTTGGAGCCTTTCCCACATGATGGAGACTAACGCCTACTTTTTCTTCTATTAGACACAGGGTCTCTGATTGTATTCCTAAGTCCTTAATCCATTTTGATTTGAGTTTTGTTCATGATGAGAGATAGGGGTTTAATCTCATTTTATTGCATATGGATTTCCAGTTTTCCCAGCACCATTTGTTGAAGAGGCCATCTTTTCTCCAATGCATGTTCTTGGCACCTTTGTCTAATATAATTGTAGCTTTTTGGGTTAGTGTCTGTGTCCTCTATTTTGTACCATTCGTTTACCAGTCTGTTTTGGAGCCAATACCGTGCTGTTTTTGTAACTATTGCTCTGTAGTATAGTTTAAGGTATGGTATAGTGATGCCACCTGCTTCACTCTCCCTGCTAAAGATTGCTTTAGCTATTCTGGGTCTCTTATTTTTCCCAAATGAATTTCATGATTGCTTTTTCTATTTATATGAGGAATATCATTGGAATTTTTTTTTAAAGCCTGATTTTTTTTTTAATGTCAGCTTTAAAATGAACCTCTAAAGTGATTTTTGACTGTTCATATGCGCAAAAAGCTTCCCAAACCATTTTCAACCTCTTCTGTGGCCTGGGTAGAGTCTAGAAGTTGATGAGGAATCAAAAAAAAATCACTTTCAGAGGCTGCTGCAGGGTGTTTACACAGAGCTGAGTCTGAGGGTCTCACTGTGCTAGCAGGCGGTTTAGTCCAGGCGTGTTTAGTTGGTGACCGTCAGCACACTAGTCCAGTTGTTGAGGAAATGAGTGCCAGGATTTTTCAGGGTGTTTTCCTAAAATGACTTTTAAGAGGAAGGCTCCTCACTCCCCACTGCACAACAAACTACAAACAAATTGTCTTTTCTAAGAGAATCTGGAACAAGTCATATTTAAACCTCCAATTAACTAAGTCAAAGATTTCCAAGTTGATTTATTATTATCCTGACAGCTGGCATCATTAATACTTTAACAAAACCACTTAAAATTAGCCAAATATCTAGGATAGATACATGTACAAAAGATATACAAATTAAAACCATTAAAAAAAGTAATAGATACCATAATTTGTCCTTGACCATAACTTCTATGTTCATAAATGATTGTGAAATGACAACCCAAGATAAAAACTGTACACCATGTACTCTGAGGGATTTACATCTTAGAAAACAGGCAGTCTTCCACGTTACACGTTTAGTGTCTCTGGTGGGTTGAGGAGAGAAACTCCATGATACTTCGAATGCTTGTACTTCTCCCTTATGGACTGCTGTGCATGCTGCGGGGCTCTGAGGTAGGTCTGGTGGAGGTCCAGGAGACAGGGCTTGAGGCTTTCCAGGGTGTATCCGGTCTTCTGTACCAGCGATTCAGGCCAGCTCTGGCCTGTGACAGTGTAGAGAGCTAAGTGAAAGGCTGCTCCAGCAACGACTGATGGCAGGTACTTCAGGTACGGGTCGGCATCTATCAAACTCAACTCTCCCAAGAACATTGCTAAACTTTCAACCTTACAGTTTGCAGGCTGCTGATGTAGAAAGTATTGGGTAAGAAACTGATTTACTCTTGGTGCAGCTAGGTCAAAAGCAAGGACTTTCAAAACTAGGTGCTCCATTCTCAGCACCTGTTTCTTGGTATAGGTATCATCGGTGATGTACACAAACTCGGCTACTTCTGGGGGGTATATTTCTTCAAACTTTGAGGCTAGCAGCATGGCAGCTGTGCCCACAAGCTGAAGTTTCCCTCTCAGCACTGACATGGACGAGAGGAACCTGTCGATGTAGTTCACAGCCAAGTGCAGGGTCTCATTCTGTAGTTTATATTCTTCTCCCACTTCAACCAGCCAGTCCACAAGGATAGCCCGCATACTGTTAGTGATGTCTGGCTGCTTCTTCATGTAGCCCACTCTAGGCTTACACTTGACCTCCGTTTCCCTAAGGTATGTGTGAATATCCTCGTGGTAGTCGGGCACTTCATTAACACTCACTGGCTTTTCATCTTCTAACACAATTGATATATCCATAGTGTGTGGCGACTCAAAACTACCATCCATCGGATAATCCAGAGGCACCAGAGGTTTTCTTGGTCCAGGTAAAGTAGCAGCTGTACTAAAAGCCAGGACATTCTCACACTCTGTTCTTTTTTCAGATGGCCTCTTTTGAGTCTCCTCCTCTGCTTCATCCACATGAATGGTGAATGCAGGCTGTTTACTGTTTGCCTTCCAAGGAGGAACAGCAGTGACATGCTCATCATTCACGGGAAGATCCTTTAGAGGTGCGACCTTTACCCGGCGCGTCTTGGGCTTCTGCGGCGCGGGACACCGCGGGTTCGCGGCCTTCAGCACAGCCAGCGCGGCCTGGGTCCGCGGCTGCGGGGCGGGCGCCTTCTCCGGGTTGATGTTCTCCTGGTCCTCCTGGAACCCCGTCTGCTGCAGCGCCGGCAGTGCCGGGCCCGTCTCGCGGGCCGCAGGCCGCGGCGCGGAGCTGCCCAACATCGCGGATCCCGGGGGCGCGAGGCGGTCAGCCCGCGCGCCAAGCAGCGTGCGCTTGCCCGCCCGCCGGGGACGCTCCAGCCCTGGCCGTCCGCCGCGGCCCAGCCAGCCTGGCCGCCGCGGCTCACCGGCTTGGACCCGCGCAGGGCGCACCAAGGGTGCCAAGGGTGGAGCAGGCGCGGCGCGGCCCGGCGCGGAGGCGCGGACGCCGGAGATGCAGCCAGCCGGCAGCCCGCCGTGCGGCGGCTGTTCCTATATCATTGGAATTTTGATGGTAATTTCATTAAATCTGTGTAGTGCTTTTGGAAGTATGGTCATTTTGATAATATAAATTCTGCCTATTGAAGAACAAGGTTCATCTTTCCATCTTCTAAGGTCTTTTTTGATTTCTTTCTTTAGGGTTCTGTAATTTTCATTATATAGATCTTTCACCACTTTTGTTAAGTATTTTATTTTTTGAGGCTATTGAGAATGGGGTAGTTTTCGTCATTTCCCTTTCTGAGGATTTGTCACTGATATACAGAAATGCCTTTGATTTATGGGTGTTGATTTTATACACTGCTACTTTGCTGAATTAATTTACTAGTTCTAGAAGTTTTCTTGTGGAAGTTTTATGTTCTTCCAGGTATATAATCATATCATCAGCAAATAGTGCCAATTTGAGTTCTTTTTCTATATGTATCCCTTTAATTTCTTTCATCTAATTTCTCTGGCTAGTGTTTCAAGAACTGTATTATACAGAGCGGTGAAAGAGGGCATCCCTGTCTTGTTTCAGTTTTTACAGGGAATACCTTCAATTTTTCTCCATTTAGAATGATGTTGGCCTGGGCCTTAGCATAGGTAGCCTTTATGATGTTGAGATATGTTCCTATTATCCTTAGTTTTTCTAGAATTTTGAGCATAAAGGGGTGCTGTGTTTTTTCAAAAGCTTTTTCTGTGTCTATTAAGATGATCATATGATTCTTATCTTTAAGTCTATTGATGGGATGAATTACATTTATTGATTTTCATATGCTGAACCAACCTTGCATCCCTGGATGAAACCCACTTGATTATGGTATGTGGTCTTTTTGATACGTTTTTGTATTTGAATTTCCAGAATTTTATTGAGAATTTTTGCATCTATGTTCATTAGAGATATTAGTCTGAAGTTTTCTTTTTTTGATGTGTCTTTTTGGAATCAGAGTGATATTGCCTCATAGAATGAGTTTGGGAGTTCTACCTCTTTTTCTATTTCCTGAAATAAATTGGAGAGTATCGGGGTATTAGTTCTTCTTTAATGGTCTTGTAGAACTCGGCTGTGTATCTGTCCAGTTCTGGGCTTTACTGGTTGGTAGACTTTTGATGGCGTCTGCTATTTTGTCACTTGAAATTGAACTGTTTAAATTGTATATATCATCCTGATTCAATTTGGGCAAATTATATGACTCTAGAAATTTGTCAATGCCTTTGATATTTTTATTGGAGTACAAGTTTTCAAAATAATTTCTAATTATCTTTTGTATTTCTGTAGTATCTGTTGCAATATTTCATTTTTCGTCACATAAGTTAGCATATTGCTTATATTTAATGATTAGATTTAATATATATTTTATTTGATTTTTTGCTGAAATTTTTAATTTAATTATGGGTTAGTAGACATAGAACATTTATAATTAATAACATTAATAGTGACGGGAAGAGAAAGAAACTTTATGGAGTCATTAAAGCAGTGAGATGATTGTCTTAGATTCTTAAATGGAAAAATTTCTTTCAAAAATAATGCAGTTTAAAGATTTGAGATTAAATATACATTTGTAATTGGGTTGAAATCAGTTCTTTATGTGGACATGCATGTATATATATATATATATATATATATATATATATATATGTATGTATATGTGTGTATTTATATATGCATATTTTAAAAATTAATTAAAAATATTATACATAGTAAAATATGTATAATAATACATATTATACATGTATAATATATGTATATATTATGTGTATCATACATTATAAATGCATATGTATAATAAACATGTGTGTGTGTGTGTATTTGTTGTTGTTGTTATTCATGACCAGATTGTGTGGGAGTCTGGTTAATTACCAGTCCCCATTAGTAGAGCCCTTTTTTAGTGTATATTGGCTCAATCTTTACTTATCTTCAAGACAAATGGTATTGACTCATTCCTGTGGTTGATTCAATAGAACAAGTAAAACTTCATTTATATTTGTTATGGTCTGTATTAATCATTCCATTTCATACTTAGAGTGATGTCAGAACAGATTTTCCAGTTCATCAACTATACCAGATTTTCACTATATTTTAGGTTCATGTATTTCATAGAAAAGAAGACAGAATTAATTTCAGTTTTAACAGGCTTTTGAAAATGCCATAGGATCTTTAAATAATTGAGTAAAATTAATTTATTATATCAATGTGTGCCCCAAATATTAGGTAAATAGCTATACATCTTGCTTACAAGCTTATTGATTTAATGGCGATTTACTACTAAATCATGTGTAGTTTGAAGTAACACTATTTAAAAAAATTATTTTTTAGTTATAGTTGGACACAATACCTTTTATTTTATTTATTTATTTTTATGTGGTGCTGAGGATCAAACCCAGGGCCTCGCACATGCTAGGCAAGCACTCTTCTGCTGAGTTACAACCCCAACCCTTGTAACTCTATTATTGTAAGTAGGTAGCTACATAGAATATTTTGTGAAAATCAAATATATTTTTTGTGTGTATTTTTTGCAATACAAATCGCAATATTATTATGAATGTAATGTATTTCATCATATACTAGTCCTGCTAAGACTTCCAAGAAAAGTGATAATTGGTCAAATATTTTTTTGAGAAACATAGTGTATCTATTATCATACTATATCTATTCCACTTTGAGTGGCATGTTATATATAAACTTTCATAAGCTCAATGATTTTGTTTAAATTAGCATTCTCGAAATTTTATTGAAATTCTTTCTCTTACCTATTATTAATATTATTACCTATTATTACTGTAGGAAGTTATTGTACCATGGAAAATCCTAAGGAAATTATACATTATATAAATGTTAGTTGTATGTTTATTATCTTAGTATAGAAGAAGGAGCAATATAATTACACAAATAGCTATAGCACATAGACTCACAGCACAATAAAAACAGTGCAGATGATACCTTTCCATGTCATAGAAGGGGAGTGCTTATTGGTGTTGTGAAAATCAAGTGATCCTTCATAATATTTGATATAACCCATGCAGAAGGTGAGAGGGGTCTCCATTTCACTCTTTGTACATATATAGTTACATATGTACATATAACATATGTACACATGTATATGCATACACACAAGCACACCACCACCAGCTCCACCAAAACTGCTATGCTAAAAAATTCAATAAATCAAAATGTAAGTGGTGTATGTATTAAAGAGAATAGACTCCTGAAATGGGTATGTACTAAGATAGGGTTTATATCGTGCGTATGCTGAAATGTTCACATTGATTTGACATGTAGAGGATCATGCACATCAGACAAATGTCATTGAGTCTTATTAATGAATCTTGTGTAATGTCTATTTTTTTTTCAAAATGGGTTGTGAGTCATACTCAGAATTATGTTAGGAGAAAATTCAGATCAGTAGTGCCACAGAATCTACTGGACTTTCCTTCCTTTTGTTCTGTAAAATTTTTATTAAGATATGTTTAAAATTAATGCCAATTAAATATATTTATTTTCACCTTAGGATAGGAAAATACAGAAGTATATATAGTAAAATATGATGGTGATATCAGACCCTATAGAGTTGTCCATTCAATAGACATTCTTCTTATTCCTTGTTGAGAGAATGCTAATTATGTTCAGAAAAACCACATTTGTTTATGACGCCTTGGGGTTCAGAGAAGGGGAGTTCAATTCCCCAAGCAAGGAAATGAATTTTGATTAATTTAGCTAGCCATGAATGTTTGATTTTTCTTGCTGTTTGTTTTAGGATAAGCATGCAATCAAATTTTATCTAGTGATACATTAGAGGGATGATTCTGTTGGGGCTCTGGAAGAGAATCAAGCAACATAGATGGAGCTCTAGTTTTGGCAGATATACATCTGTATAAACAGGTATATGGAGCAAACAGGTATATGGAGCTGCTGCTGCCTTCTTGCAAAGGAAGAGAGGAGAGGGCAACGTGCTATGGGGAGAGAGGAGATAGATGAGAAGAGTCCAGGCCCAAATGATGGTGTTGAGATGTTGAGTTAAAAGTTAAATTATATAACTTTACCTCTGGACTTCTTGATCTCAGAGATGATGATTTGGTTTTATGGTTTAAACACATTGTATTGGGGTTTCATTTTTTTCCAAAACAAATTGTCTTACCTGATAAAAGATTAGAGAATAAAATATCTGTTTCTTTCTTGGGGTCATATACAATTTTTTCATCTCTCCATTTTTCTTTATTGCTGTATTTTCAAAAATTTTAGGGCACCTAAATTCAAGATTACACTGAAACTATGCTTCCCAAAGAATAGGAAGTGACAGCAGGCTGCCCAGGGAGAGGAACCTGAGCTTACATTTCCTTTATCACACTTGCTCTTAGCTTCTGTGCACATCAGTCCATCATTAAGTTGTTGTTTTCTTGGGGGATTTTCCTGAACTTGTCTTCAAGGAGACTGATAAGCAAGTTTTAAAGTTTCAGTGCCCTATATTCTTCCTATAACTTGTGCAAAATTAGTATCTACATATAGTATTATTAGAAAAATGAAGTGCTTAAAAATGTCTAGCAGGTAATGTATGTTATTAAATATGCAACTACAAAACTATGCAGAATACTGCCCTTTTTTTTAGCTCATTCAGAAAGCCTAAATATATTCCAAAGATATATTTTTAAATCAATAAGTATTATACTCATAATATCATGGGAAGTAATTTCCCTCATGGAATAGTCAGTCACTGATATTACATCAAAACAACATCTTATAACAGTGCTTAATATCCATATAGTATGGTTATTCTAAGCACTTAGTGGACATTTTCAAATTAATCATTACAGACCCTGTGTGGTA